GTTGTCAGGTATTTCACTTTCGATTGATGATACATACTACTCATATCTGTCGACATCAGTAGCACACACCACAGTACTTCTTGGATTATCAGAAATTATGTAGATCTAAGATCCTTATGATTTACACTGTGAATTTTTTAATCAATGTGTATTTTATTCGTTTTGTATTTTGTAATCACTTTCTTCTATTTCGTACAAAAATTCAGCGAAATCTGATTATAATCCCGTTAAAAGATTTATGATATTACAAGTCTACTGAAATTGCATGAAGTAAAGCATGATTGAAATCTATGATTCAATGGATAAAATTTAAGTGGTTCAACTATTATTTCACTGTTCTACGTCAATTATGAACTGTAAATGATTTGTTTAACTAATTTATTGTTGATTATGTTGGAGAGATCCAGAAAGTCTTTCGAGCAAAAGCCAAAACAAGCTCTGAAAACGTTGAGAAAACCTCTTATCTAATCAACATTTAATAAACGTTTTGCCAGAAACATTTAAAAAGTGAAAAGTCACATGCCGCGTTTCTAATTGGATCATTACCTATACTGTTACTAGGTTTAGTAGCGTTCCAGTATTGTCTGGAACACAAGGCCATCTAGAATGCGTGAAAACCATGAGTCTGATAAGTGATATGATTATGAGTGCGTACTGCAGAAAGATCTCACATTTTGGTGAAATAGATTACGGTAAATATTGGCTTCAATCTACTGTGCGAGAGAACAAAGCCTTATTCTAGAAGAGGAAGAAATCAGGAAGAAGCAGTGGGAGTGGATAGAACACACATTGAGGAAAGCATCAAACTGTGTCACAACGCAAGCCCCCACATGGGATCCTCAAGGCGAAAGTAGAAGAGGAAGACCAAAGAGCACATTGCACCGAGAAATGGAAGCAGACATGGTAAGAATGAACAAGAATTGTATAGAACTAGGAAGGAAGGCCCAGTACAGAGCAGGTTGGAGAATGCTGGTTGATGGCATATTCTCCATTGGGAGTAACAGGCGTAAGTAAGTAAGTAAATCAGTCAGTAAATATAGGCTTTCAATGCTGGTTTAGCTGATGTCAGTCAGTCATGTAAACTATAAACAGTATTATTGCTTTTTAAATATTAGCGAATTTCTTTCGTTAAATTTTAGTGTTCTATGGACGTGATTTAGAAGATGATGTGAACGATGATATTGAATATCCTTTTAAATCAATATATATCGCTTTACTAAAAGCGAATAGAGATGAATTCACATTTGTAGATGGAAATCTTGTACGAAGAGATGTGGAAGAACTACTTAGAACAATGAAACAAGACATCAGGATTGATGAATCAAAGTAAGTGTACTGTGTTATATCCGAGCGAAGATTAAATTACAGGTAACTCCCGAGGACTATTAGTGGACTAATATTCTATAAATATTCTTATTGTATAACTATTCAATCATTAGATTATGTATATTTATATCCCTCTTATTATAAGCTTTATTTTGATCTATAATTTAGTATTGTACGATTTACGGTTCTTAAACTATGTTCAGTCTATTAATTACTGTCCCCCTCGTTCACAGCCACTTTTTGGCTTATTTGTGTACATATGTTATTTCCTAATTTATGGTGTATTGTGGTCTGTCTGGTTGATATATAAACCGAGTATGTTTGAAATAAACGATCTGCTCTGATCTGCTCTAATTCGAAGCTGGTATTGTGTTCTGGACTCAAGTGGAAGGGCTCGTAGTACATAGGACCAATAAGGACGCTAGACTGCCCACACCGGTTGAACGTCATTGGTTGGCCTAGTGTGAAATTCGTATAAGTCGTATCCGGATTGGTAGATAGGTCGCGTGATAGCAGAACCAGACATACTCAAGGTCATAACAATTGGCGACGGGGATTTTGAAAATAAAAAGCGATTCAAGGTCATAACAATTGGCGACGGGGATTTTGGCAACAACAAAAAAAAGTACAAGCGGTGACCCAGATTTGGGAAATAAAGTAACTGTTATAGTTGCCGGTGATTTTTGGAGCTAATATTATTGGCAGTTAAAAAAAAATGTCGATTTCTTCAGAACAGTTGCAGTTAATATTACAGCAGATGTTAGCCTTTCAACAACAACAGAACCAGCAGATGTTGGCCTTGCAACAACAGCTATTTGAAACAGTTTTGGGCAGACTTTGCATTCAAGCAGAAAACAAGAAATCTATTTATCATGCAGATAATGGTGCAGAAATGGACATTTCAGAAGCATATCCTGTGCAGGGTTCAAATCCCTTTATACCTGAATCAGAACGTAATATTTGTAACGTGTCCGGCTCAGAGCAAGAAAATACTGTGCTGAATGCTCATGAAGTTGTGACAATACCAAATGATCAAGAGCCAGACCCTGTAGATGAAGCCCGGAGTCCAGAATTGAATGAAGCACTACTGGTCCTGTCTAGCTCTGAAAATGAATTTCAGCTAGAACAAAATTATGGTCCACGTGATATTAGCCGAGAAAGCTATGGGGACTCGTATTCAGAAAATAACTGCAGTGACACGATGAACCCAATTATACCGAATGTTACTCAAAATCATTGTGAGACAGAAATTTATATTGAATCAGCTTGTCCGATTTCTAATGACAAGGTATCACATATGGGTTTTCAGAATAATGCATGTAATTTTGATGAAATTTTTTATAAAAATAAGAAAAAAATATTGGCTGAGTCAAATTATGGTCAAAAGTCTAATGTAATTTTGTTAGATGATGATTTCCGTAATGATCCATTATCCATTGATGAAATTCCTAATGGATTTGAAAGTAATGCTTCAGAAGAATTAAACTTTGACCTCAAATCAAAGGTTGTTCATTATCATCTAGTCGTTTCTAGTGGATCCGACATTCAATGCGAGAAACGTCGTTTAAATAATGTCCTATTATTTGTAACTTGGAGATATAAGGACCCAACATTATTTCGAGGAGGAGGAGAATGTTGGAGAATTCAAAGTTTAAAAAAAAATTCTTTTTAAAATCCGAATCTAAACTTGGAATCTTCGAAAAAAAGGGGAGGTGTTATATCCGAGCGAAGATTAAATTACAGGTAACTCCCGAGGACTATTAGTGGACTAATATTCTATAAATATTCTTATTGTAAAACTATTCAATCATTAGATTATGTATATTTATATCCCTCTTATTATAAGCTTTATTTTGATCTATAATTTAGTATTGTACGATTTACGGTTCTTAAACTATGTTCAGTCTATTAATTACTGTCCCCCTCGTTCACAGCCACTTTTTGGCTTATTTGTGTACATATGTTATTTCCTAATTTATGGTGTATTGTGGTCTGTCTGGTTGATATATAAACCGAGTATGTTTGAAATAAACGATCTGCTCTGATCTGCTCTAATTCGAAGCTGGTATTGTGTTCTGGACTCAAGTGGAAGGGCTCGTAGTACATAGGACCAATAAGGACGCTAGACTGCCCACACCGGTTGAACGTCATTGGTTGGCCTAGTGTGAAATTCGTATAAGTCGTATCCGGATTGGTAGATAGGTCGCGTGATAGCAGAACCAGACATACTCAAGGTCATAACATACTGTTTTTACTATGTCGGGATAAATATTAGACAAAAGTGAAGTTTCGGAACGATCCAATCTGAACTTATTATTGATGCTTTCGCTGTACTCTTATTAAATACTTAAACTGTTACATTCTTACACTCCTCCACTTTTGTTTGACGCACTAACCATTGTTTTGTCTTTTACATTTCCCAAAGTTATTGTCAATTCATTACGAACTTATTACTCAGTTCTTTCCCATTCACGGTGCGGTTGTGCTCATATTGTAAATTCCTAATTCTGTTGATGTGTTGTCACGATTTCGCTCCATATTCCAGTATGAGTGATCGAAAAAATTCGAACTGTTTAGTTGCAGGTCATCTGTCTGCTGAGTTGTATTTTCTTTGTGGCTATCGGGGAGTAAACGTGGGAAACTGCATTCCGGACCAATAGTCATTTAGTTGTTATCTCACATTTAGCGTATCATCCGTTAACTCGGTGTAATTGGTACTAGATGGCAATGTAAATGGACTAATCAATACATGGACCAGATCAATGCAACTACTTTCTCGTCTTACAGTTCGGTCATACAAGCTCTAAATAACTGAACAAAGATATCTGATTATTCTCCCCCAACAAATTAGTTTTTCTTTGCAGATATACTAGTAGGATTTGTTGATCCTGCATAGCTCTTACTTAGTTCGTAAACTTCGCATTGTAAGAGAATTCGATTTTATAAACAGAACTATTGTGACTTATTATAAATAATTGTGTTTGTGTGAAGATTCCACTTTCACTCACTTGTTTGCTTCTGGACTAGGTTTCAGTTTCAATTATTTCACCATAAATGCATTACTTTTATAAAGATCGTCGACTAATTCACGAGTACAAAGTATGAAATTTTACTGCGAATTAAAACTTTATTAAATAATTCGCAATATATATATTTGTTATAATCTCCTTCTTACGGTTATGACCCAGCTATTCCTATTGCTTAGTATTCTCGGACACCGATTCACTCGACATGTCCCCAAATCAGAACACGGTTGAACAGGAAACAGATTATATTCCAAATAACAAGGTTAGATGGAAGTAATTAGCACAATAGGGAAAACGTTAGTACATTTATAGTTTTTACATGAGAAGATTCTGGAGTATTCACCAACTATCGACTAGTGCAAATTGGTTAAGAATTAGCCACTCAGGTTGCACCAAAGCAGTCGTGTATTGAGCATGCTTTAATCCAGTCTATGTCCCGCTAACAATATTTCCTATGTATACATCAGTCCCGAAATCTAAATAGGACTCTGGATACATCATTGATTAAATAAATGAATGTGATCCTCTAATCAATTTGAAGCAACATACAACACGTTGTTGCTTTTTTTAATGAACTGGTGAAATAACTTTTTAATATCTTTACTTATTAGATTCATGCCTATCTTGATTACACGATCCTATGGTCATTTACGAGCTGTATTCAATGAATATTCGTTAATTAGTGAACGTGATTTGGAAGAGGAAATGCGTGGACATGCAGTCGATTGTATACTGTCTATTGGTAAGTCGTCATCACTATTATTTATTTAAAGGAATTGTTATTTGAATAATTAGTATGATTTGATCTAATTTGAGATTACTTGGTGAATTATATCTTACTTACATATTTACTCACACCTCTTACACATCATGAAGGAGCATTGGCTACTCACCAGCATTCAACATCCGACCCTGTCCTGGGCAATCATTTCAAGCTATTTCCAGTTGCTATTTATCCCATTAAAAATTGAACAACTTTATTCTGTACAATTACTAGTTAACATGTATTAAGGTATGACGTATTTGTCTAGTGTTTAGTATTGATCAATTTCTACTAATCAACAAGATTTAATCCGATCATTAGTCTAAATGAAATAACATTGTAGATATCATGTTTTTGACGTCTTACTTATACATAAGAAAACCAGAGAATAATAAGTATGAAATGTTTTTGTTCAGTTATTTAATCATAACTTCTATGAAAATGGTGAATTTTGAGACCATAGAATTCTATTCAATTTATAATGAAGCTTATTTATCTGTTACAAAATCAAGTCATAGTATAGTGAACGAGAACACAAGTATATATTTGAGCACAAAATTACAGAACAAGTTAGTAAAATCTGAGAACCATACAGTAAATAATTCATTTGCAAAATGTCAATCAATCATCTCAGACTTCGCTGTCCCTTCATTTCCACAGCGATCGTTCACTGTTCTTGTTCACTTTTCTTCAATTTCCTCAACTTTCTATTGTCAGGTATTTCACTTTCGATTGATGATACATACTACTTATATTTGCTGACATCAGTAGCACACACCACAATAGCATTAAGCTAATGTATTTTTGATCATTTATCACTTACTCTATTACTTGCTGAAAACTATCAACAAATTGGATTGTTTGGTCTCATATTAAGTAATTAAGAGAGCAAGTAATTGTTCTGTATAATGAACATTTTTCATTTCTCACATTTACTTATGTATATTTCATCAATTAAAATTCATTTCAGTCCGTTGCATACAAAATAGACCAAGATATTTTGCTGAAAAATTAGTCAAAGCTACGGAACATACAGAAAAAGATCATGGAACAATTATTCGAATTATTGTCTCTCGTTGTGAAGTGGATTTGGGACGAATTATGGAAGAATTTCTTGATTTCAATGGCAAAACAATATATAAGCTTATAGGAGTACGTATAAACAATATTTAAGAAGTAATAATTTGCAATTATTATGATCGATTTACTGGAACTTAAACATGGATACAATTGCTAATATAGACGGATTAGCATTGTATATACCATTATTTCTTCGTGTTTATCTATATCCCCAACGTAAACGGTGTGAACAATAATGCTGAATATTACTGAGTATTATTGATTCAATCAAATGCTTCTCATGACTTAAAATGCATAGATCACATTTGCATTCTCACAGTTTATTGACTAACCAGATTTCAAAATGCTTCCGAAAACAATGACAATTCTCACTTAGTCGAGTTTTACTTAAAACGAGTTGTGTCAAGAGTCGGTTGTTGAGTATCAGAACTATTTGAAACTATTTCAATGTGAAAACTGTTTCTCAATTCATAGTTTAAACTATCATAAGATTATTTCTTTTCGTAATAAGGTGACTGACATATTGTATGACAGTTAGAATTGATTCTCATTGAGAAGGGAGATGTTATTTCAAATAATTGTGGACACATTATACTGATATTGATACTTAAATTAACACTTCCTCATCCTACACACTACTTTGTCCTTGTTACATGTGATGTGTTGTAGACTAATCGCTTGTTCAATCATTCAAATGAAGTTTCGAAATACAGTTCTAAGAAGACTAGACCATCCTGCATCCATGTATACATGTGTGCGTGTTTGTCTGATTTGATGATAACGTCAGATCACTTCGGAAATGAATCAATTGAAGATAAACCTTCATATTTAATATTCCACTATTGTTTCGACTAGATTATCTTTCATCTTGGTAAATCCCAGTGTTCAATTGTAACATACTAGTTCGACTTTCGTAAATGTATGTCATAATTTGTAGGAAATTCTACCATGCATTACTTTTGCATTGAAATTACTTATCAAGTGATCGAACGTGATAAAGGGAAATAATTTTACAAATTTTATTTACCAAATATATTTTATTTTAGATCGATTATTATATAAACGACTCACCATGTTTCGTAAAATTAATTATTTATCAAAATTTATTGGATGGAGTACATAATGGTTGCCGTCGTCTGTTATCGAAGCTTATCGTGAGATAATCTACTTACCAATTACATTATTAATCATATATTTACAGTGATTAAAGTCATCAAACAATTACGAATTTATTCTGTAGACGTCAACGATTTTCTGCTTTACAAAATTTATTTGTTGACATGTTTCGATTCACAATTAACAAGAGCATTCACCTCGTTTAACAAGAGTTGTATTAACAAATGAAAAGATTATTATTCACACTTATTTTCTCCCCCTATATCCTTTCTCACTCCCTCTCTCCGTCTGTCTTTACCCTATACTCCATTTGATTGATCTCCTAAGAAAATGTAGTAACAAGATACGTTTGCTTAACTATTTTGCTTAAATGAATACAATTACTTTGTCATCAGATTGAGTTGTTCAAGTTTTCATTGAGAGGAGTGAGTGGTGTGAAACAAGTTGAAAGATATTAGTTTATTCAACTGAATGATCATTAGGTTGTTTATCGTGAGTCCCCTAACAAGTCAAATCGGAGAACAACAAAGGAGATATATGTTATGCCTTGCTGATTTGGACGCTATATTCGTTCCTAAGCTATTCTGATAACCCGAAAGCTAGAACTACACGGCGACCTGAACACCAGAGAGAACACGCAAAGTATGAGAGAAATACTTTACTCCAACGTTCGTTTTTGTACAAAAAACATGGGTATTTATAAATGTTAACATTTGTTAAATTAACGTCACATTTTGGCCAATCCGTTAAAGAAATATTTTGCCAGTGACGAATAGTTGCGCCCCACGTTGGAAATCTAGAATGTCTCATTATAATCTTATTGGCAGGGATATTTGGCTCCTTTTGGGCCTCTGAAGGCTCCGTTAAAGTTCTCTGAAAGCCGACTCAACAATTTCCCGGAATAAGATTTCGTTCTAGGATCTACTTTTAGCTTAACAACTGGGTTGTAGCGGCGTCTCATTATTTTTGTCGTCTGCCTTGTCCAAGGCTTCTTTACGGTGTGATTGGGTATGTGTAACATTGGTGTATCTAAGATTAACTTTAACGGATAATTCGGCCGGTTATTTCGAGTCTGCATCGTTATTTTGTCCTTATAGATTTGATTTGTGTGTCGAATACACGTTCCAAAAGTTCCTCGGACTCTGTACAGAACTCTTCCCAATTTTTGTACATCTTCTTCCAATCGTTTCTCCCCGATGCAGGATTTAATGAAAACTTTGTCGCCAACATTTAAGTTCCGGATTTTTGGATTGTGATTGCGCTCATTCACTAATTTGGATGGCAAGATGGCGTTGAAGACAGTTCGAATACACCTTCCGAACATGGCTTCAGCAAGAGACTTGCCATCTGGAACATTCGAGTTCGGGGTGGATCTGTGGGATGTTAAAAATTTTGTGATTATCTGTCCAGTCGTCCCTTCGCCTCCCCCTTTCAGTAATGCCCGTTTAAAGGTGTCCACAAAGCGTTCTGCTTGTTTGTTTGATTGCCGATGATATGATGGAGAACGAAGATGAGTTATTCCGTTTTCTCTACAGAAATGCTTAAACGATTTTGCGGTGAATACGAGCCGTTATCCGTTACTAAGGTCTCTGGAACACCGAAGCAGCTAAACAGGGTAGACAACTCGTGGATTGTTTCTGATGTTGTACAATTTGGCATGATATATACTTCCGGCCATTTAGTAAATGCATCTAAGATAATTAGAAACATTGTCCCTTGGATTGGACCGGCAAAATCTGCATGAAGCCTTTCCAAGGGTCCTGCAGGCTTAGGCCAATACTGAGGTTCGCATTTCCAACGATTTTTAGCGGCTTGAATGCATGATGGACAGTTATGGCATTTATTCTCTATACCCTTGTCCATTGACGGCCAATAAGCATAACTACGAACTAACGATTTCATTTTATTGATTCCAGGATGGCCACTGTGCATTACCCAACACGCGATGAACTTCTTTCTCAGCTTTTATATTTGCTATAAGAGTCAGGAGATTTTTGCTTTCATCAGATACCGGAATTCGTAGATACGCTTCTGGTAAATCCGATTTCGCAAAAAACCCGCCACCGTTCAGCTTAACGGAAAGATCTTCCGGTAGGGGTAGCGGATACTGGTGATACTCTAGAGCTTCTTTTAATTCCTTTGAATAGTCTGCACATAGACGAGCGCTTCCATTCGACTTCTTACCAATACCCATTTCCTGAAGTCGTTGTAATTCTTGTTCAACTATTAGAAGAGCAGCATACGGTACAGGTCTTCTAGGTCGAAAGACGGGAGTAGCTGCAGGTTTAAAGGTTAACAACGCTTTGGCCTTCGTACAATCCCCCAATCATTCTTTAAACACGTTTTGGTGTCTTTGTAGCACGGCGTTTCTAAGGTTCCACTCTAAGGTGTTGTCAGTTCTGATTCGTCTGCAGATGCTGTTAATAGAATGGTCTGCTTGAGGATGATACAGGTATTCAGTGTTTGACAACGCTTCTATCAGTAACACCTTCTAATATAGTTTGTTCCCACCAAGAGAAATCAAAAGACAGAGTCGAGGAGATCGGAAGAGTGTATTTGGCGATTACCAATATATCGGAATTCTTTGATCTAATCTGGCTAACGATTGCGGTAGATGTTGAGCACAGCGTTACCACACGTGATCTGGTGCGGATGCATGACCGAGCGCCTTCAGCTAGATGAGTCCAATAAAACATATGGTCAGCATCCAATGTCGAAAACTTACTGAGCTATTTATTTTGTGGATTTATTTACCGCTACATGCTAATTTAAGTGTTTCTATAGGACCTAACCCCATTAAGTCGAGTGCTGGCTTCTTTGTAAGATATATTGTTGCATTCGTTGTTACGGTACCTTCAGAAACAGTGCATGGCACTTCTCCAACGATATTTAACTCCCCCCCAGATGCACTGTGTGCCAGTTGTATTGTTGGGAAAACCGTGGGTCTTCCAATTTTCTTCCAAGTTTCTGGGCTGATTAAGGTGATATCGGAAGCTGTGTCAAGCTGAAGGCGAGTACGGTGTTTATCAATATCTAAGGCTACGTACTTTCTTTGGCGGCAATTTCGTGCTTGATTATGTGATACCAATATTCCTTTTGTTAATACGCCAGACCTGTATTTCTGGAAGGAAGGTTTTGCAGAATATCGTTCATAGTTTCTTTTTCTGCAGCTGGTTTCTATATGACCCTTCCGATACCACTTACTGCAACAATGTTCTTTATACGGACAGAACCTCTTATAGCGTCAAACTCCACATGACCAACATGGAGATGAGGATCAGTTGTTAAGTCTTGCCGATTGTCTGTGTGCGATAATTTTCTTGAGTAGGAATCTTTCTTTCCGCTTACAGCATGAACGTATGGCAACTGGCTATTACTTTCGAAGCATTAACTTCAACGTGTCAGGAGGTGCTGGTCCTCAAGAAGCATAGTCATCATAAGGAATGGATCTCTGTAGAAACACTGGACAAGATCAATGGAAGGAAGAACAAAAAGACAGCAATTAACAACAGCCGAACACGAACAGAGAAAGTCTAAGCACAAGCTGAATACATAGAAGCAAACAAACAAGTGAAGAAAGGCATTAGAGCCGACAAGCAGAAATACATGGAAGAACTAACAACGACCGCGAAAAAAGCTGCTAGAGAAGGAAATATGAAACAGCTTTACGATAAACGAAGAAACTAGCAAGGAAATATAATAAACCAGAGAGATCGGTCAAGGACAAAGAAGGCAGGCCAACCACTGAAATTCAACAACAGAGGAACAAAATTGTAGAGTACTTGGAGGAACTCCTGGATAAGCCGGCTCCGAATATGCTTCACCTTCTATTCAAAAAGATTTGAGAGGATCAACAAATGTGGATGAACTGGAAAGAAGGACACCTCGTCAAGATTCCAAAGAAAGGAGATCTGAGCAAATGTGAAAACTACAGAGGCATCACACTACTATCAGTACCAGGGAAAGTCTTTAACAGAGTGTTGCTGAACCGGATGAAGGATGCAGTAGATGCCCAACTTAGAGATCAACAGGCTGGATTCCGTATGGGTCGGTCGTGCACAGACCAAATTGCAACACTACGGATCATCAACGAACAATAAGTTGAGTGGAACTCGTCACTATACATCAACTTCATTGATTATGAAAAGGCATTTGACAGTGTGAATAGGAGGACGTTATGGAAACTTTTTCGACACTATGGAGTTCCTGAAAAGATTGTCAACATTATCCGGAACTCATATGACGGACTACAGTGCAAGGTCGTGCATGAAGGACAGCTGACAAATGCATTCCAAGTAAGGATCGGAGTCAGACAAGGCTGTTTGCTCTCCTTCTTCCTCTTTCTTCTGGTGGTCGACTGGATTATGAAGACCTCAACATCTGAGGGACATCACAGAATACAATTGACAGCTCGGAACTAGATAAACGATTTGGAGTTCACAGATGACTTAGCCCTCCTATCACATACACACGAACAAATGCAGGTGAAGACAGCCAGTGTGGTAGCAGTTTCTGCATCAGTAGGCTTCAACATAACTTAATTCAATTGCGTTATCTCTGGCACTCTTATTTCGTCCAGTAATTCAAATAATTCGAAACATTATACTGGCGTCGCGATGGAGCCTGCAATGGAAAAGTTGGATATTCATTCAACTTCGGAAGCTTTTGAGGATTATTTGGAAAGGTTCGAAATCTGGAGCATGACTAAGAAAGATGTTAAAGGTGGTAAAAATGTGGCACATTTCCTGACATTCATTGGGAAAGAAGCGTACAGCTTATTAAAACTTTGGCATATCCAGAAAAACCTATCTCAATTCCTTATGCAATTTTTAAAAAGCTATTATTAAATCATGTAAAGTTAACCAGTTTTGAATGCCGTGAAAGGGCGAAATTTCATAATATGGTTCGTCAAAATAATCAAAAAGTTCGGAAATTCATCCTTGAATTGCAGAAACAAGCTGCCAAGTGTAATTTCGGTGATCAACTTCATGTGCAACTGAGAGGTCGACTAATTGCAGGAATTAACATACCGAGTTTGGAAAGAGAGCTGTTAAGAATGCCAAACTGTTCCTTTGAAGATGCTAGAACTGCGTGTATTAACTACGAAGCAGTAAATGAACTTGATATCCAGTCGACGAAGATTTCTAATACTTTGCTTAGTCGTCATGATGAACTACAATCTCAGGGTCAATCAAACTTGCGTTCATGTAACAGTGATTCTTATTCTTGTGTAAATATGAAAGGTATTTCAACAAGGAATTACAAAGCAAATCACAAAGGTGAGATGAAGTTTGGTAAGTGCTTATCATGTGGAAAGTTTCATTATC